TCCTCCCATATTGTTTCTATGTTCCTATATCCAGAATTCCCACATGGTTGCAATAGTTAATGTGAAGTTTTAGGAGGCAGCGAGTGAGGAAATAAAGATGGCGAGGTCCTGGGGTGCCCAAGAGCTGTTTCCGCAGTCTCTTCTCGTTTTCTCGAGCCCATTCGCTTTGCTACCAGCTCAGAAAATTTGTTTTTTTTTTAGATTATTTGCATGATCATGGTGTTTATGAAAAAAATGATGAACGTGCAACAGTTGTACCTGCATAGCTATATAACATTTTTAGTATCCTTTTCAAAGCGTAATGGCTTAATAGCATAGTCATTTGTATGTTACACTCCACGCACTGATTTGATTGTTTTACCTAATAAAATCATTTGCACAAAAGTGAACTCATATAGTTAATGGCTGTTTGCACATGTTAAGATTTACTTCTTCATAAACGCAAAGACTTCTCTGATACCTCAAAGCTAAATCTTGAATATTTAATCATAGAATGATATAAATGTCGTAACTGTATCACGAACCAATGTATTTGATGAAGAAAATTGCCAAAAAAAAATTGAAAAAGTTGAGCAAGAAGCTTAAATTGGCTAAAGAACTTCTCAGCTACAGCAGTAACACTCTGACTCTCACGAGTTTCCATAAAATAACTTCTTGCAAAATCAATATAGTATTCAGAGAAGTTAGAGCACGAGGATGCCTGGTCATAACCAGTTCTGGATACTTGATGACGTCACCAATAGGGGTGTCGTAGTGGGACCTCGAGGAAACCCATTCGTTACTTTATTCGAGCCCTAGCCACTTTGTTCCCTTGCCATAGCCCATGAAACCTTGCAAAACTACAGAAGACAAGCAATTACACACACTTAGTAAAGAATTGATGGCGGTCGCGATGACAGGACAGAAAAATTCAGATGAAAAGTCGGGTGGTGGTGCTTGTTGCGAAGCGCTCGATCGAGGAATAACCTCTCTTTAGTTGAGTTTTTCAGTTATATAACATTTTTCTTGATTCCTATAAAAATATTTTTAAAAACTAGAATAAATTTACTTCCAATCTGTCAAAATTCTAATCGAGTGCACGAGGTTTTTGTTCGAGTGCACGGATGTTGAAAGTCTGTCAGTGTGCAGACTACCAGGAGGAAACCCTTTGTCCAGATCCATCAGAGTATCACGTAAGCCATAAATTTTAACCATACGTTGTGGCCGGGAAATTTAGAGTAAAAGGAAAATTATTTATCAGACCGTATGTAGCTTACATCGTGAATTTCATATCAGGTTAATAGCACAGATGAACACATTTCATATCTCGAGACACTGTCGTCTTTGTGGCACAAATCTGCCGCGGACAAAGGTCAGTGTTGCAAACAAAGAAGCTTTTAAATTGGAGCTCTGGAAGAAATTTTTAAATCAATGTCGATCTTGACAGCAAACGGATTCATCCATCCTCAATCTGTTCGGGGTGCAAGCGATTTCTCTGGACATGTAGAGTTCGCACAGTTTCCGATCCAGAGAAAATTGCCACAAAGAAGGAATATGTGAAGTTGTAGTCTGATCGTCCGGGTGAGTGTAGTCCTGAGAAGGACTGTTGTCGGTGGTAGTGACTGACGTTTCGACAACCTGTGCGGAAGTCATCATCAGAGTCAAGTGAATGATTGTTGTCAGTAGAATGTTCTTATTCCAGTTCGTGTGAAATGATCGGTTGGTTTTGCCGTGATGTTATTGGCTGTAAGACTCAAGTGACGTAAGTCGGTCGTGATTGGTCTGTTTCGATCTGTCGGTAAAGTTAGGTCGTTCTTTTTCGGTCGTTTGTGATGTTTATGTCGTGAATGAGTCATTTGTATGGAGCGGGTAGTTGTTGACATCTGTTTAGGGGAGTCTGTTCTAAGTTAGTAAACCAGCTTTCCAGAGTCAGTCGTTGAAAATAGTCAGTGCTGTAGGTTAGGCATTGCGCAGAGTCCCAGTCAATGTTGTGGTTGGTAAGTCGATGGTGTTCAGCAATGTGATTGCTGACATCACCTTTCCTCGTCGCCCGTCTGTGTTCAGTCAGTCTTGTTGTGAGGTTTCTGCCAGTCTCACCGATGTAGGAGGCTTGGCAGTCGGAACAATTGATCTTATAAATCGTTCCCTGTCTGTTCCTCGGTTCGTCTTTGTCTTTAACGTTGGTTAGTAACTGACGTAGTGTGGTGATGGGTTTGTGGGCGACGCGGATATTGAAGGGTAGTAAGATGCGCGAGATGTTTTCAGACATGCCTTTTATGTACGGT